ACTCCCATTGAAGTCAGGGGTGCAGAAGCTGACCCCCTCCAAATGCATTTTGCCTGGGCAAAAGAGCCACCAAACAAGGACTTCTCGGGCTGAAGTCACAATTGGCTGCAGCTAGCAGAAGTTTCAGCTCGTAGGAACGTTCTGTTGATAAAGTTGCATCTGAGCGTTTAAAAATAATCCTGTGGGTCTTTTTTTTTTTTCCCCTTCCCTGCGGAGCAGAAAATACAGATTCTCTAACAGAACAAAGAAGTGATCGTGGTCACTTTGTATTTGTGGAAAACAGAAGCAGGGTATTGGCTTCTTGTTTAAAAAAAAATAATCTTCAGAGATGTTGCCTCCGTTTGGCCAACATGCCTGACTAATCACGGTTGTAATGTGGACTGAGAAGGAGAGAGAGAGAGAGCGAGAGAGCACAAGATACCTGTCTTAGGAATAAAACTTAAAAATCAGATTTCTACCTAGAAACAGGGCAGTAACATCAAGAAGGGCAATGGTTGACTTTGCACATTTCTTATAGCGTATATTTTTCTGGATAGACAAGACATGGTACTTCTTTGATTTGGTTTGACGATTGTTTTCATTTGCAAGTTACCCTGGGTAGGTTGGGATTGAGTGACCTCTAAATTTAACCAATCTATCCAATAATATTGCACAGATGATGTTCCCTAGTTGGGTCATGAAATGTCTGCAAGAAAGCCACCCAGCTCAGAGAAGCACGAAAGATCCTGCATGTCAACCCTGAGCTATAAATATTTGCTTCTATCAATCCAATAACATTGTGGAAATCAAATTAATTACATTCTGTCTTCCTAACACAATGTGTGATGAAATCAATCAGTGATGTGACTATATCTATTCTATATCTATTATACCTATCTATCTATCTATCTATCTATCTATCTATCTATCTATCTATCTATCTATCTATCTATCTATCTATCTATCTGAATCTATCTAGCATCTCTCTCTCTATTTATCTTCTACCTAGCATCTCTATCTATCTCTATCTATCATCTATGATCATGTGTTTTAATCAGCAGATCAAACTTAAAAATAATAATGGTTTGCTACAAGATGTAAACTACAGTTTGATTCAGTAAATCAAATGGAGTTCTACATGGTTCTCCCTCTGTTTCAGGACTTGGGACAATGTTGTCACTGATTTGGAAGTTTCAAAAAAATACCCCGTTGAGCTAATTAAGCTCGTGAGTCCAATCCTTGCCCAGTTCCTCGTGTTCAAGGAGACTTACTTAGTGTTTACTAAACATATTCAAGATAGCAGCCTCTGTAGCTACAAAGTCTTTCAGTGTCTCTAGATATCTTCCACTTTGCATCCCATGTGGTCCTGATATTCTTAATTTTTTCATCTTTCTTGGGGCAGCTACATAGCTTTAATCGCCATGGCCATTCAGCAGAGTCCTTCCCACAAGGTGACCCTTTCTGGCATCTACGATTTCATTATGAAGAAGTTCCCATACTATCGGACGAATCAACGCGCCTGGCAGAACTCCATTCGTCACAACCTGTCTCTCAACAGCTGTTTTGTCAAGGTAAGCCGGCAAGACACACCTTTGCAAACCATATCCTCCATCCATGCACTCAACCTGTTCTGAGTTGGGTCGTTCCTCCAACGTATGGTTGAGGGTATGAGTTGGCTCAGCCTTGGTCTTGGTTGTTTGAGAAGGTCTTTCGAATTACTTTCTGTGATGTTAGTACTGGACTGATAGAAGAGAATACTTGTAGCTCTGGGTTGAAGTCAAGGGTCTTCTCTGAGAAAAAGAGAGAGAGAGAGAGAGAGAGAGAGAGAGAGAGAGAGAGAGAGAGAGAGAGAGAGAGAGAGAGAGAGAGAGAGAGAGATTATGCAGAAGACTGAAGGGGTTATTTACCTCCAATTTCTATAATTAGAGCGAGAGAAAGAAAGAAAGAAAGAGAGAGAGAGAGAGAGAGAGAGTATGCAACACTGGTTTATTTACCTCCAATTTCTATAATTAGAGAGAGAGAGAGAAAGAGAAAGAGAGAGAGAAAGAAAGAGAAAGAAAGAAAGAAAGAAAGAAAGAAAGAAAGAAAGAAAGAAAGAAAGAGACTACGCAGCAGACTAAAGGGGTTATTTACCTCCAATTTCTATAATTAGAGAGCCTGGATTTCAGCAACTTGTCATAGCTGTTTATATGAGCCTCACATCTAAGTGAAGGCAGATGTGGAGAAGGCAACATTCACAGCATGCGTGCTAAGAGGTCAGGGCCACAGATCTAAATGGGCAGCGGTGGTGGACAACCTGTTTCTATAAAGCTGGCCCTCGACCTTCTGAGGTCATCACCCTCAGGGTGGTCAACATCATCCAAGCTCCAGTGCGTGTCCGAAGGAGCCTCCCTTGCCCACAGAAGCCCTTGGCAGAGCCCAACCTTCTTCAGATCATGTCTGAAGATCCTTCTCTCTCTTTTTTTTTTTGGAATGTCCATGATTGAAAGTATTGTTCTTTTTGTTTGAACGCACGCAGGTTCCCCGAGCAGAAGGCCACGATAAGGGGAAAGGAAACTACTGGAGCTTTGCAACCGGATGTGAATCCATGTTGGATTTGTTTGAAAATGGGAATTACAGGAGGAGGAGGCGGCGGAGTGTGAAAAGGGAAAAAAGGACGGCTGGAGGAAGAGAGGCCTTGCCCACCTTGTCTTCAGCCGACGCCATCTTCCCCAAATTCTCCTGTCCTAGTGAGACTTTGGCATCCCAACCCCTCAAGTCCTCGGAGGCCGGTGAGTTTTTTCCAAGAGGTGCCGCCAGCCGACAAAGCCCACACAGCTCCTCCGTCGGAAAATCTGACTCCGAAATTAAATTTAGCATTGATTACATTCTTTCATCTCCAGACCCGCTGCCGTACCATGTGCAAGATAATACATACCACCTCTCGGATGCTCAGCAAGCAAACGTTGGGTTTTGGACCTTGTGAATCAGCCGGCTTGGGACGAGGGCCGGGAGAGAAGATTCGCAAAATGAATGAGCAGCCAGGCAATGTCCAGTTTTGCGGGACCCCCGGGGTTGAAACCCACCTGCCGGGGTTGGGCTTTACTGGACGGGACAGTGGGACTTGGGTTGGCCTTGCTTAAGGCCTTCTGATCTGACGGGGTCCTCAATGCATCCGACTGCATGACACTGCTTGAATTCTGGGACGGAATGAAATAGTTCACGGTGGATCGAATAGTATTAGTAGACCCTACGCCGCTAATGGGATCCAAGGAGTGATCAATGAAGCTGGGTGCTGTCCTAATGCTGACTTGGAACATTATAAATATAAGCCTTCCTTCCTTCCTTCCTTCCTTCCTTTCTTCCTTTTATTTCCTTCCTTCTGTATAGCTAAATGCCTTCCTTACTTCCTTACTTCAGCCCTTACTTTCTATCCTTCCTTGAATACATATAGCTAAATGCCTGCCTTCCTTCCTTCCTCTTCCCTTCCTTCCCCTTCTCTCCTTTTATTTCCTTCCTTCCTTCTTTCCTTCCTTCTGTATAGCTAATGCCTTCCTTCCTTCCTTCCACCCTTCCTTTCTTCTTTCCTTCCTTAAATACATATAGCTGAATGCCTTCCTTCCTTCCTTCCTTCCTTCCTTCCTTCCTTTTGTATAGCTACTGTACCTATATGCTTGCCTTCCTTCCATCTCTCTTTTCCATCTCCTTCTCCGTCTTTTCCCATTCCATCCATCCATTTTTCCATCCCCTTTTCCTTCCTTCATTCCCGTGTTTCTTCATGCATAGAATGGTCTGCTTTGTTTTCTAAAGATTCTGCTTCTTCAAACATTACTCTAACTTAGACATGGGCCCAAAACAAAGACCAATGTTTATATAGCCCTTGTCCTTCGTCATGACGTTTTTGACCCTCTCTCATGGACCAGATTGCTGGACCCCCAATTTGACTAGAGTCTAATTTTAATGGCATTTCTTCGTCAAACTCCAGAACGATCAGCCGTTGTAACAATCTGACTAGGAAAATCCCCATAAGTTCAATTAGAGACAAAGGGTTAAACTTTTAACGGATTAAAGTTTGAGGTTTCAACAGGTTGATGTCCTTTTCCCCAATGTGCTTAAGTCAGCCCAGATGTTTAGCATTCGTAAGTGTGTCTGCGTGCACTTTTTCTTCAAAAATGCATTTTTGTACATTTTTGCAATTTTCCCCTCATTGCGGGACGACCAACATCTTCAATGCAATAAGGGTTTTGTAGGCATTTTACCCTGGTTAAAAAAGTGTTTTCATTTTTTCTTTCTTTGATTTTTTTCAAAAAAAAACAAAACCCTAATGTAAGTATTAAGTTTAGGAGAGTGTGACTAAGAGTCCAGTTTTATAAATGGGTTTGGGACAGGCAATTTACTCTCCTCACCCCTAATTTATTGGTAATTCCATTCCATTGACCTGTGGAGTATGAGTCAATAAAGCTATATATTAAAATGATATACTTTAATATTTATTTCAGTCCATCAAGAGAGTTTGACAGGGCATCCCAGCCCAGATCAGAAGATAGTATAGGAGTTATACTCTAATTTTCTGCTTCTTGGAAAATCAGTTCACCAGCTAAAAACTAAAATGGGAAAACCCCGTTTCCTCTATTTATAAAATGGGGAAATGTTGCTTCTTAGCAGAATTCAGCAACAAGATTGTATCTGTTTCCAAGTGATAGCAGGCATTTTTTAAGGGGAAAGATGGAATGTTCTCCCCACTTTGTGGATAGCCATAAGCATGGAACAAGTAGTCCTTGGTTTACAGCACTTCGTTTAGTGACTGTCCGACTGAAAAAAGTGACTTATGACTGTTTTTCACACTTACGACCATTGCAGCATCCTCCTGGTCACGTGATCAAAATTCAGAGGCTTGGCAACTGGCATGGACTTATTATTATTATTATTATTATTATTATATTTAAATTTATATGCCGCCCTTCTCCCCATGGGACTCAGTTGCAGTGTCCCAGGGTCATGTGATCCCCTTTTGGCAGTGGTGTAGCGTGGGTTGTCAGCACCCGGGGCAAGGCAAGTAATTTGCGCCCCCCCCCTCCACAGTGGGCGGCGACCCGGCGGCTCGGATCAGATTCGCACAGGCAGGGGCAGAGAGCTGCGAGTGCAAGCGCGCCCCCCCAGATGTTGCGCCCGGTGCGGCCGGGCCCCCCTGCACCCCCCACGCTACGCCTCTGCCTTTTGGGACCTCCGGGCAAGCAAAGTCAATGGGGAAGCCAGATTCACTTAACAACCGTGTTAGTAACTTAACAACTGCAGTGATTCACTTAACAAGTGTGGCAAGGAAGGTCGTAAAGTGGGGTAAAATTCACATAACAAAAAGTCTCATTTACCAGCAGAAATTTTGGGATCAGTTGCACGACCCTCTAGAGCTTCTTGGGCACAGTCTCCAATTTTCCCAGGTAAATTCTTGTTTTAATAAACGGAGACGCCTCTTCTCCAATGCCATCTTCGTGCTGTTCTACACCACACACACACACACACACACACACAAAACACAATGCTTTGGTTATTGGCTTGTGGTTATTCCCAGCTCACTCGTGTCATAATTACCGGATGCACAATTATTACACTAATGCAGAATCTGAATCGGAACGAAAACGAGGATTAAAAGTCCCTCTCAAATGCTCTTTGGCCCTTCCAAAGCCTGGCCTTTTTTTTGCACATAATATTTTGTTGTTGTTGTTGTTGTTGGCTCACTTACCTTGATAAGATCAGTCCCTGGTTATTATTTTTTGGAAGGAAAAGGTTAACATTCGGTGGAGACAGCCATCTCCAGCCTACATAAATTAATCTAATCTATGTTGAGATATCGCTATTGTTTGACCCGATTTATGTCCAAAAGGCAAGGAAAGGTTCTGATGCCACTTTTCTCCAAGGCCTTTTGGGGCCACCGGATGCTGTTATTTGCTTTCCAAAGGAGATCAATCATCTTTCCAAACCAGAGGAAATAAAAAGAAGAAAGAAAGAAAGGGGGGGTGGGAAACCCAGGGACATTTTTTTTAATTTACCTGCTCACGATTTCCGAAATGCATTCGGGCCCTTGAAACGAATGGCATTTAATATGAAAGGTGTATGGGCAAGACATGACCTTATTCAAATGTCGGCACCATTACAGCGTCGTTCCTGGTCTAATTATAATTAAATACTTTATGCTTTCCTTGCAAATCCTTTTGATCAATCACTGATACGAGCATTAATATCACATTGCCCCTGAGCTCTCTCACAAGTGTTTACGGATCAGCGGGTTTCCATTAAGGAAGACGTGGGTTCCCGTCGTGCAAACGTCGTGGGCAAACATTCGGAAGTGGCCTTGACGTCAGAATAAAAATGAAGAAGGGGAGAAGTAACTTCCAGATTTTTCTCCAGAAATTTCTAATTTCTTTCTAAGTAATAAATCCAAAATCTATTAAGAAAACACAAGAAATAGGGATATATTTTTTTTGAATATAGACTAACACAAGGGATAAACTTTTGCCTATTACCTACAGTCGTGTTTTGCTGCAGATGAAATTAAACAAAGGCAAATATTTGCAAACTTACATATTTTTATATCCCTCCAAATACCAAACGGGGTTTGTGTAAATTACAGAAACAGGGCAATGGCTTTGTTGTTTTAAGTCACTGTTTTTCCATTGAACAAAATGAAATGTCTGCTGTGTGGTGATAACCACAGCTTACAAATTAGATGTTTCCTATAACCTCTCTCTCTCTCTCTCTCTCTCTCTCTCTCTCTCTCTCTCTCTCTCTCTCTCTCTCTCTCTCTCTCTCTCCTGAACCCTTTCCTGCTTTATGCAATTACTTTTCTATAAGCTTTAGGCTACATCAGGAAAACAAAACCAAACGGAAAAAAAATAAAATAATGACATAAAACAAAATTAACTGGGAACTCACTGAGCTAAAACTTGTGTTATAAGAGATTAATCATAAACAAGGGGAAGTCATTTGACCAGACCATTAAATGTGTGTGTGGGTATACGTGCACTTCCCCAGGTGTGCCCCTATGTACATCTATATAGAGTAAAACAAATGCAATTTTAATTTGACCCATAGGCCTCCTTTTATTCTTACGGAAATTAATAAAATCGAGATTGAGTTTTTGATGCATATCTCTTGCTTAAAGGACAAACATGAAACTGGTTTTGCTCAACCTGATCAGTGGTTTTTATGCCATACATCCATGCCTGCTTGGTTGAGAGACAGATAGATTAAAGGAGGGAGGGAGGTGATAGATAAATGAGAGAAAGAGAGAGAAAGAGAAAAGAAGAAGAAGGAGGAGGAGGAGGAGGAGGAGGAGGAGGAGGAGGAGGAGGAGAAGGAGAAGGAGAAGGAGAAGGAGAAGGAGAAGGAGAAGGAGAAGGAGAAGGAGAAGGAGAAGGAGAAGAAGAAGAAAAGAAGAAGAAGAAGAAGAAGAAGAAGAAGAAGAAGAAGAAGAAGAAGAAGAAGAAGAAGAAGAAGAAGAAGAAGAAGAAGAAGAAGAAGAAGAAGAAGAAGAAGAAGAAGAAGAAGAAGAAGAAGAAGAAGAAGAAGAAGATGATAGATGGAGATGATGGAGATGGAGATAGCTATAGATATAAATTGTTTGAATTTGGACTAGAAGACCTCCAAGGTCCAAGTCTGTCATCCTATCCTATCCTATCCTATCCTATCCTATCCTATCCTATCCTATCATCATTCTATCCTATCCTATCCTATCCTATCCTATCCTATTCTATTCTATTCTATTCTATTCTATTCTATTCTATTCTATTCTATTCTATTCTATTCTATTCTATTCTATTATTCTTCTTTTCTTTATTCTGTCTCCGGATGTGATTCTCCAGAATCTTCACCAGGATCTTCACCATCTCTGCTGTCAAACGGACCCACTTATTTTGGGAAATGTGAGCGACCATCCACAATTTAAACCTTGGTGTGAGCTGCTTCACCATGGAGCGCGCGGTGTGTGTGGAAGTTATTAAATTAGTGAAGTTCCTCACAATGAACTGTAGGTTGCTGTACCACCAGCTGCTGATGGGGAAAAAATAAATAAATTCTAAGATTGCATTAGATGTAAAGGTTAATCCATAAATCAAAATGAAAATGTCAGTTGCCTTTTAACATTGATTGAGATGTAATTTGGTGTCAGCGCTGCAATGTTTTCTTATATAAGTTCACAAATCTCCTCCTGTTAGAGCCCCGGTTTTTTTTTAAACCAAAACAAATTAAGTCATTTGTTTTGTTTATATAAGCACGTCAAGATTGATGACCTTGTTCCTTGATACTGTTCTTTTTTTTTTTTCCCCTCTGGTTCCCCATCGACTGCCTTGTCAAAACGGAAGAAATATTTACACCTGTCTGCTGAAACTTTGATAGGCAAGCGATGGGGCCGCCTGACTTCTATTAATTGGCTGAAAAAACTATTTCACTAAGTGCAGAATTGTAATCATTTATAATATCCCAGATTTTTTTTTAAAAAAAAAAAACAAGCAAACACACACACCACAGGTTATAGGAAATATCTGCATAAAAAAGGTAACATGATTTATTTATTTATTTATTTTAGACAAATACATCCCTTCAAATGCTTGATTCTGGATATGTTTCACGCAATTGCAATTATTTAATTTAACAGAAGAAGACAGAGGAACTGTTTTAAATTATCTTCTCAAAAAAAAAAAATAATAAATTGCCCTTCGGTTAGCTAGCCTGCTAAGGAATTTTACGTTAAACACAGTCCAGTTTTTGCAAGTCCACTTTCGGACATCAGGGGGCAGTAGAGAACAGCCTGGCTCCCCCTGTCTTTTCGTTGCATACCAAACGATGAAAGGAGTGCGGGAAGTCCTCGACTCAACGGCCATAACTGAGCCCAAAGTTTCTGTTGCTAAGTGGGTTTTGCCCCATTTTATGACTTTCCTTGTCTCGCTTG